CCCAAACAAAGGCAAAAAAATAAAAAATAAAAATAAAGGACAAAAAATACTACTTAAATAGAGAAATATACAACATATTTTGGCACCATAGCTTCTCGAGAAGCAAATACATTTGTTATTCATCTTTAATAATAACATATTTTTGGTAATTGAAGCGCACAATTTTTCTCTAAATTCACATGATTTGTAAACTATTCTTGCTTTTGCACAACTACAAACTCTTCTGAGATATTTAAATTATGGTTTTATGGGGAGAAAAAATTAATAACCACCAATATTACCATTCATAAAAGGCATACAAGTGTTAATTCAAGGAAAATAAACTCATAAATCATTTCCAAAAGTAGTATAATCACCCAAAAGCTAAAAATGCTAAATTTTTACTACAGAAATCAAAATTACATCAAATCGATTGATTTCTTCACAAGTCTCCAAATTTTAACTGAAGAAAGAGAGGATCACACCTGCGCTCAGATATGTTGGGGCAAATTCGATCCTCGGAAGAAGGCAACAGTCTCATATCCGCTAATTCTCTCGTCCTGATCCAAATCCGCTCGCTTGAACATAACCTCGATGCACGTGGTCTTGAGCCTCAGCTGTGTTGCCTTTATCGCCGCCACATAGCCCCCAGGGCACCACGTCATTGTCCTCTGTCGCTGGCGGCTGAGATGGCGGTGAATGCGGCGGAGGGCAGTTGACGGTGGAGGTAGAAGCGGGGAGGCAGGGGTAGGGGATCTCCCTTGACTTTGAGCAAGAATATTGTGGGCTTTTGCACAAATACATTATGGTTTTATGGTTTTATGAGGTGGAATTTCTACACCCACTGTTTACGAATATTGTGGGCTTTGAAACTTCTCGATTAGAGCTAAAATAATGTCTTAACTCCTAAGCAATCAAATTGCTTTTACTTATAGTAAATTGTTTTATTAGTAAACTTTAGTATAAGCTCTTCTTAATTTCATCTATTCTCTTTATTCTTGGATATAATCTGATTTATTACAATTGTAAAAAAAATGCATTTTTTCCGATTACTTGGTTGGTACCATCAAACTTATTGTTTAGAAAGAAGAGTTGACTAATTAATTCTAAACTCTCTTGATTAAGGTGTATTATAATTTTTTTGTATACTTTTGTCCCCTATTGTTGTTGATATAATTTTCATGTAGTTTTTTTTATTGTCTAACACATAATTTTTTTTACCTATAGGATAATACCATCTCAATTCCAATTTTGTACTCAAGATTTATTCCATAACTACAAGTATCAGGTCAGTAAAGAATATCAATAATTTTTTTAATTGTGACATTAATGATTATAGTTGATCATTTACTATTGAAATTTCATGAAAATTTACGGTAATTTGTCTAACTATCTGCATTGCTCATACATATTCATAAATTAATGGTAATATGACATATGATTTTCCTTTGTAGAAATTTATTCTCTGGTTTTTGGATAACATAACTACTACACAACACTTTCTCGCTTAAATGATTCAGCAAAGGTTTGCATTAAACTCAATAAAATAAATTATTAAATGATTATACTTAATATTATATATATTTATATATGTATATATAATATATAGTATATATATGTAGTATATAGTATATATATATATATATATATAATATATATATATTATTAATTATATAATATATAGTATATATATACATATATATATATATATATATATATATATAGAGACGTAGAGAGAAGAGGAGACTAGAGGAAGAGCGAGATGAGAGAGACAGAGAGAGCAATTGGAGGAGTAGAATGAGAGGAAATATGGAAGAAACTTGGTACAATTTCCATTGACTTGGATAGTGAGTTGTCAATCCCAACCTACATACACTTGAGAGAGAAAGCGATCAATCACTGATTACTAGAATTTTAAAAGAGGCTTATTTTATAGGTGTTGATGTAGGGGGTGATTTATGGACAGCCTAATACTCAATTCAGATGTGATTAGGTACAATTTTCGTAATAGTTTCTCAATATATATAATTATATATATATATATATATATATATATATATATATATATTTATTTTATATAATTAGATATATATATTATATAATATATATGTATATATCATTAATATATATATATCATTATAATAATATACAATCCCCATAATTAAAAAAACCAAATATTCTCGGTTGTGTGATGAGCAGAAGAAAGATTACATTCAGACAAGTGCAGATAATAAGAGAAAGCGACAAAGTAATGACTTTGCTGGTAATACTATTAATGGCAAACGACAACGTAAAGTTGACCTATTTTGTGGAGCCCTACTACTTGCCTATGAGCATGAAGGTAGGTGTAGATATACTTTATAGTTTATTAAATGGGCCATATAAATTTATAAATTAGATTATTAAATATTTATATTTTGTGCTAGGGAAAATTCTTCATGAACTGGTATGTTCTTTACTATATAAGCTACACACTCCAAATTCTTGTGTCTATTGTGGATCCAAAAAGTTTGAACACGAGCCTCCAACATTTTGCTTCCACGACGGTGAAATCCACCTAGCAAATGTGAATATTCCAAATGAATTATATGCCCTTTATACAATGCAATCACCAAAGGCAATTGAGTTTCGAAGCCATACCAGAATGTACAACAGTATTTTCTCATTCACATCGTTTGGGGCCAGATTCGATAAAGAGCTAGCATCAAATAGAAAAGGAGTTTTCACATTTAGAGCACAAGGCCACATATATCATAATCTCCCTGCTCTAATTCCAAAAGAAAACAAGCATTCATACTTTTAGCTTTACTTCTCTGATACAGAGAATGAGTTGCAAAATCGATTGAATACTAGACAATGCAAATATGAGTGAAATCACAACTAAGAGCTTGATGGATATATTGCAAGGAAACCCATATTCAAAGTTCCTTCGCAAATTGAATGATTATCAATCTTTTGAAGAATTTAAGATACTAATAAATAGTAACGTTGCACTAGATCAACGTGTTTATAACTCACCAACAGCAGATCAGGTAGCTGCAATCTGGGTTGAAGGAAATAATGACAATGCACCATTAGAGAGAGAGATAGTTGTTGATACACACTCAGGAGGAAGACATCTAGTGAAACATTATTTTGGCTGTTATGATCCGCTGCAGTATCCTTTACTCTTTCCAAATGGAGAGGTTGGATGACATCAAAATATTAAAAGAAGGGATAAAAGGGATATCAGAGCTGACAATCAACAAAGAACTATAATACCGACTTCAGTAGTCCCATCAACCTTCACATCTGTAGAAGACATATTTAACCGAGAAAGTGAAGGTAAATTTAAATTCACAATTCTTGGTAATATTATTATATATGACCATAGCTTAACGCCTAAATTTACAGGCGTCAAGGCACCAAAACTCGGAAAAGTCTCACGCCGAGATTATTATTGTCATAAGCTCCAGATAAGAGACTCTCGACAATCTATTTTACTTACATCAGTAGGTCATTTATTCCATCAATATGCTGTTGATATGTACATAAATCTTAAAACAACAAGACTTGATTACTTTAGAAATAAACAATCAGAAATCAGAGAAGAGTTATTCTAAGGTATTGTTGACAGTGTAGCTGTCGGGGAAGCAAATGCATGCCAAGTGGGCAAGAGAATAGTGCTTCCATCATCATTCATAGGTGGTCCTAGAGATATGTGTCGTAGATACCTTGATGCAATGTCATTAGTACAACGATTTGGAAAGCCAGATCTTTTTATAACAATGACATGTAATCCAGAATGAGAAGAGATCACTGAGTAACTACATCCAGGTCAGACACATAATGACAGGCCAGATCTAACCTCAAGGATATTTCGAGCAAAACTCCAAGACTTGAAAGATCAACTCTTAAAAAAGGAGATCTTTGGAAAAGTTGCCGCACATGTTCACGTGATTGAGTTTCAAAAAAGAGGTCTACCACATGCACATATCTTAATAATTCTTATTGGAGATCATAAGATCACATTATCGGATCAGTATGATAAGTATGTATCTGCGGAAATTCCAGGTCCATCCAAACACCCGATCCTCTATGAATTGGTAAAAAAACATATGATACACGGATCTTGTGGGGAGTTGAACATGAAGAACAATTGCATGAAAAATGGAGAGTGCAAATATCACTATCCTCAAGAATTTAGCTCACAATCAGTGCAAGCAAAAGATGCTTACCCAATTTATAAGAGGAGGAAAGATAACAAAACAATGTTGGTCTGCAACAAACTCCTTAATAATCAGTGGGTTATACCATACAATCCATATTTGCTGACACGTTATAATTGTCACATTAATGTTGAAATATGCTCATGTATTAAAGTAGTGAAGTACCTTTACAAATACATATACAAGGGTCATTATAAAGTACCAGTAAACATTGAATATAATGAAGGAGGAAGACTTGTGAATGAAATCAAAAAATTTCAAGATGTAAGGTGGGTATCGGCTCAAGAAGCTTTGTGGAGAATATATAAATTTTATCTTAATGAGATCTACCCAGCTGTCATCAACTTACAACTACACTTGCCGAATCAACAGTTTGTTTCCTATTGGAAAAATCAAGACCTATTGAAGCTCATCCGCTGGGACCATGTCTCCAAGACAATGCTTACAGAATTTTTTACACTATGCTCAAAAATTAAAGAAGTAAACAAATCAAAACCAGAAAAAGACTAGGGAAAAGAGTTATTATATTGTGAACTTCCCGAATATTATGTTTGGGGTTCGACGATAAAATGTTGGAATCCAAGAAAACAAAGACAAGTGATAGACCGTATACATGGTGTTAATCCAGTTGAAGGGGAAATATATTACTTACGACTTTTACTTACTCACATCAGATGCCCCACCTCATTTGAGAATTTATTGATCGTGGATGGAATTCAATGCACATCATTCAAACAATCAGCCTAGAAATTAGGTTTATTGGAATCAAATAATAACATAAGAGAATGCTTAGATGAAGCTGTCATCTTTCAAATGCCAGCAACCCTTCTCCGTTTGTTTGCAACCATACTTGTTCACTGTGAGCCCGCAGATGTTAATAAATTATGGGATCGATACCTTGACGCATTATCTGAAGACTTCTTAAGGAAACCTGGTGCTACAAGGAATTTAATGATAAATGTCACCCTTTGCAACATTAAATTCTTCTTAGACAGCATGGGAAAGGATATCAAGAAATTTGATTTACCACCTATTCAACCTAACCCTGATTCAGAAGGAATTTTATACCCTAGAGAAATTCAAGATGAACTCGATGTGCAAATTCCAATTGAAGACCTCAATGCTGAATCAACACTCAATTCTAAACAATATAATGCATATACTTCCTTGTTATCGCGAGTTCAGGCAAATAAAAGTGGGATTTTCTTTATTGATGGGCCAGGAAGGACTGGGAAGACATTCTTATACTGTGCTCTACTTGCCAGAGTAAGATCAGATGGGATGATAGCTCTTGCTACAGTGACATCAGGCGTAGCAGCTGTAATAATGCCTGGAGGCCGAGCACCACATTCCAGATTTAAGATAAAAATCCCAACAACAGAATCATCTATGTGTAGCATATCCAAGAAAGATGGAACCTCAAAACTGATTAAGATAGCTAGATTAATAATTTGGGATGAAGCTCTAATGTCTAAACACATTGCAATTGAAACATTAGATAGAACATTAAGGGATATAATGGATCGAGATGAACCATTTGGCGACAAAGTAATTGTATTTGGTGGGGATTTCAGACAAGTTTTACCAGTAGTACCCCGCGCAACAAGATCACAAACTGTTAGAGAAAGTTTAGTGAGCTCATATTTGTGAAGCAAAATAGAAAAGTTGAAGCTATCAAAGAATATGACAGCAAGGACAGATTCAACATTTAGCAACTTCCTTCTTAGAGTTGGGAATGGAGATGAACCGACGGTGGCTGATGACCTAATAGCGTTGCCCACATCTATTTTGATCAAAAGAATTCTACAGGTTTGATGAAGCAATTGATGACACTAATCATCACTACCAGCAAGAGTTCCTAAACACGTTGCTACCAAATGGACTACCACCCCACAAGCTGGTGTTAAAGAAACATTATCCTATTATTTTATTAAGGAATCTGGATCTGACTAATGGGCTATGTAACAGAACAAGAATGATATGTCAAGATTTTAATTGTAATATAATTCATGCTAAGATCATAATGGGCCAACATGCTGGGAAAGAAGTTTTATTGCCAAAAATATACCATTATCTTCAGCAGAAGTTGAGGGGTTCCCATTCAAGTTCAAACGAAAGCAATTTCCAATACGACTATGTTTTGCAATGACAATTAATAAATCACAAGAACAAACAATTCCTCATGTAGGCATCTATCTACCTCAACACGTTTTCTCTCATGGACATCTATATGTTGCTTTATCACGAGGGATTTCAATGACAACAACCAAAGTCCTAATTATATCGGATGGAAAATTTAAAGAAGATGAAAGATACACAAAAAATCTGGTATACAAGGAAGTCCTACAACCAACAAACATGTAATGAACTTCAAAGTCACAATAACTATTCTAAAGGTAATTAATTTATCAAAATAATTACATATGTTCATTCCTATAATTTATAATTTTCAATATTGTATAACTTTTTTTTCCCTTTGGCATTCACTTATTTTTTTACCCACTCAAACATTATTATCAGTTAATAATATTCAAAACCTTATGAGGAACAAAAATTAATAAATTCATTTTCTAAGCTATGATATATTCTATAATATTGCTCAAAACTAACATTTATATTTTAATCTAATTAACAAGAAATATGACTACCATTACTGAAGGCCAAACTCAACACATCTAAATAAGCCAGCTCAAGGAGTTTCAGAAAGAATGGACCATTCATGTTATCATACTTCGAAGTGCAGAGGCCACTTACAAGAATGCATAAGGATCAGGGAAATTACTAAAGCTAATTCTCGCTGACGCTAAGGTAAAATAAAATTATTCTTTGTAATATATTGCTTGCACAACATTACGTCTGATCATATGAATATTGTTAAACTTCATTATCTATTTGGTAAATTTCATTAAAACCCCAATAACTTTCATAATTCCTTTTTATATTGTTTTTCTGTTTACATAAACTAATTAAAATATAATATATAGCTTAGTATTAATTAATTATATTTTCCATACATTGACCTCTGGTGTTAATAATATTTGCAGGGTAACAGAATATAAGGAGTTATGTACGGAGAGACTATCGAAAAGTTTATAGATATGCTTCAAAAAAATCAAATTATTTTCATTTCAAATGGAGAAGTAAAAGGAATAAACCAGCTTTTCCAAGTATCCACAAGTCACTTGAATTAGTATTAACAAAAGACATATCTATTAAAGAAGCACCAACATGTTTCCAATTGGAAAACATATTGAACAACTTTGTCCCATTTGAAGAAGCATTTTCCATGAATGATGCAACAAAAATTAGTAAGTACTTATAAATTTCTTACTTTAATCTTCAATACAAAATGAAACGTAAATTTGTAGATTCATAATCTTTTTATAAAATTACTTGAACATATTCTTACAATAACAACTAACGTGAAGCCGACGATCAACTATATTACAAGACAAAACAAACCAGACACTAGGAGGGAAATCACGCTAATGGATAAAAGGTATATTCATGATACTTATTTTCAATATCATAAGAAAAAAAAATAAGATTAATGTCCGTTCTTTTTTTCATATACAATGGAATGCCTATGCGCGCAACTTTATTTGGAGATTTGGCTATATATGAAGGATCAATTCTTGAATCCGAAATCAAAGATAAGCCTATAATAGCATTATCATATTTTAAAATCTCTATATATCAAGGTACATAATTTATTACTGGAATTCTTATTAAAAAAAGCTAAACATAAAATTAATCCTATAATTATCTTAATTTTGCAGGGACACAAGCATATCGTCACAAATTATATCAACAATATGTATCAACCCAAAAATTGAACTAGCTAGAGACTTAAGGGAATGGTAAGCAGAACAAACATACTTTCATATAACCCAATAATGAAAGAGTATTATGTTTTAATCTAATATGCAGGTTTCAATTGGAAGAAGTCGCAAAAGCAAAAGGATCTTCATCGACGCTTTTTAAAAATGCAAAGGAAATTCAAAGTAGTGATATTATGCGTACATCCCAGAATTCGATACAAGTACAATATTAGAAACCTATTATTATTAACAAATTTAAATCTAACTAAAATTTGTTAATATACAGGCACAATATTGCATATTTAAGGTAAAGATAACTACTATTTTAAATAGGCTCGAGCCATGGTTCTATGCTTGCAAAGGCTGTGACAAGAAGGTAGATAAAGACGTTAGTAAAGAGTGTCTGAATGACAAATACCGCAGAATCATTGATAACCCAGTACCAAGGTTATGTAATATATTTTTTTAATGACATGGACGTATTAAAATATAATACTAACTATCTCTAGAAATTAACAATGAAAACTACAGGTACTTAGTTAAGATTCTCATGGAAAATAGCACGGATAATGCAAGAGTAACACTCTTTGACGCAGCAGAAACTCTTATTGGATGCACAACAGAAAAATTCATTACAGAAAAAGAGGTAATTCATAACTCTATTCAAGTAATAATTTAGAAAATAAAAAATTTAAAAAGTATTAAAATAACATTTGTTCTCATTGCAACAGAAAAATAATAAGAGTCCATATTTCCAGAAATTAGTTTTGAACATCGGAAAAACGTTCAAATTCCTGGTGAAGTTAGAAGAAAAGACAAAAGATGAACGAGGCGAAGGAAATATAATAGCACAAGAAATTCAACTCCAGCCTGATATTACAATCGACGTAGATGATGAAGATGCTACTTTAGAATTTCACAGGAAAAAGATAAAGGTGGAGAAAGATTGATCTTGGTTCAATTAGAAATTTTCAAGTACAATATTTTTTATTCATTTTATGTCATAACTTAATTTTTGAGTACAATTAGGAATTTTTATAAGAGATTTTCATGCAAACTTATTATTATTTTTGTATGCTTATGTGATTGCTTTCATCACATAAAATTACAAATTCATATTTAACCGTTTCTTATCATTAATTATTATCTAAGGATATGATCCTGCATTTATAATATGTTTGTGGTCCCTTCATCAAGTTACCATTGTATTGAATATTATCTTATTCATTTCTTTGAAGGATTGGATTGTTTTGGTGTGCTGTGGTCAGAATAATGTTAATCATTTAATATAGCTCGAGATAATTATGAATACTTTTGCTAGGAGTTCATTTATTAAAGTTTAGTGCTACTAGGTAAACTTTGTGGATTTTTTTTGGGTGTGAATTCTTAAAGTTTTTTTTAATTGGGGATAGAATAGGATTGATTCTGTGTTATGTGGTTAGAGCAACTTGATCAGTATCCTTAGGTAGAGATAATTATGATGCACATTATTCTTTGGAATTTTGTTCATTTTTTGTAGGAGGTTGTTTAGTGAAGTTTAATTCTATAAATAGCGCCTATTTGCATTCTTCCTATTGTTTTTTGTAACATTTCCCCCCCTTTTTGGGTTTTTATATATGCTCGCAACTACTGAATTTTATCTTAACAAGTTTTATGATCCTGCATTTATGATATATTAGTGGTCCATTCATCAAGTTACCATTGTTGAATATTATCTTTGGTATTATTGTGATGAACCATTTCTTAGTTTAGCATTTTATTTTATTTCTCCCCCCTTACTTTGATATCAGGAAATTTCTCTGCTATTTAATTATAGTACCCTCTGTTTTTCCCCTAATATATACCGAGACCATGTTTAACGCGTTATACATTTAGAAAAGTATAATACACCTATGTGTTAAGTCTCATGTTTAATGTATGAAAATATTATTGCTATAACTATAGTTCATAATGACAATTACAATATCCCAGTTAGGTATATTCATCACAGTTTATCTTAAAACCCAATACATTTATTTTTATTAATATTAATATATTCTAATAAAATACAAATAAATCTAATAATTCAATTTTACATATTTGAACTCAAGATGAATTTGACTTATCTAAATTAATAATGAAAAAAATATAAAAAAATATTTTAATATTTTACCACGTGCATTACACGTGTATATAAATAAACTAGTTTATTAAAACAGGTCAGTTCGGGTTGACCCGGTGACCCATATAACATAAATAATGACCCGAATAAGCACCGGCAACTCAAGCAGCGAGCGGCCCTAGATACCATCACGAAGCTCAAGCGGCGGCGATTGGAGAGAGGTGACGAGCGTTCGGGAGTGGCGACGAGAGGCGAGCGACGACCGGCGACGGCGACAGCTAAACTTTGCTGTAAGTTCTCAGTCTCCATCCTTTGAAAAGGCTTGATTAAGATCTACTGGATAATTATGGACTATGCTTTGCCAAGGACGAAGCCTTAATTTGGTTAACCTCATTATGGTTTTATTTTCCTGTTTCTTTTTGTCGGAGTTCTTCACCTTTCATTATACATATTTGCGTACTGTGTGGTTTGACCAATTAGCATTGTGAATCCTAACAATTCAGAAAGTTCTATGTAGGTTGAAGCCTAGAGTTTTGTGTTTATTCCAGTATTTATTTTCATTAGTTTTTTTTACCTTATTAAGAATTTTTGTCTAAATCAAACTGTTGCTTGCTGAGTCTGGTATATCACTTGTTTTTTTTCCTTTTCATGTTCTTGATTAAGTTGATTTAGAATTATCGGTAGCCTTGTGTTTATTTCCTTTTCATGTTCTTGCTGAGTCTGGTATAGTGTCCTTTTTTGATTCCCTCCTGTCTTAAACTTATGCAGTTTTGTATTTTTTTTCCCCAATGTTGGAGTCAAATCCTACCAATAATCCTATAAAGGATGGTTTAGAAGTGGGTTCATCTAATGAAGAAGAATTAGAAGAAATATCTAGTTCTATTCAAAAAAAAAAAAAAAAAGTAAGAGGGATAATTGACAAAAAGAGAAAAAGAAGACTAACATCTGAAGCTTGGACAATGTTTGATCTTGTTACAATCGAGCCGGGAGGGAAATAATATTCAGTATGTAAGAAGTGTGGAACCCAATACATCGCCGAAGGTAATCATGGGATGAAAAACATGTTAAGACACATGAAAAATTGTAAGAAAGCTACTAGAAAGGATATTGAGGATTTATCTAACTCAAAAGATTCTATAATGAGTTCTTCGAGATTTAATTTTGACCCGGATAAGTTTAGGGAGCTTTTAGTCTCGGCCATCATTATGCATGATTTGCCATTTCAATTTGTTGAGTATGAAGGTATTCGAGCAATCTTCTCATATTTTTGTGAGAATCTGAAACACATATCAAGAAATACGGTTAAAGATGATGTTCTTAAAATCTATGGAAGAGAAAAAAATAGGCTAAAAGAAGCTTTTGAATCGATTTCGGGTAGAATTAACTTGACTTCCGGTTTACTCAATTCAAGCCATCATTATGCATCATTATGCATCATGCATCGATTCGACACTTCCACAGGCACGTGACACGCACCCTGTATCGAGTTCTAACCGGTGTACTTGACCCCCTATTTTTTTCGCCCTCCTTTCTTTTACCGCACTCTTTGCTCTCTGATATTTACCCTCTCTAATTTGTGTTTCCCCCAATTTCAGCACCCGACTTCTCGCTCTCTGAGACAAGAGTCCTGACCGGGTTGAAGTTAACAAAATCGAGCGTGAGAGTATCAGAATCCTTCATTTAAGCGGAGCCCCATCCTTTACCGTCTACCCCTCCAAAAACCCCTTTAAAAGGATTGCTCTTGTGCTCAGTTCCTAATCCTTCAGCCGCAAAAAGGTTAGATTTTTTTTTTATTTTTTCATTTTGGTTTTTATGTATTGAAGTTCACTGTTTGCCAGTTTCATGTCAAGTTTAGATCTTTTTCCTCCATTTTTAGTTCTTTTTTCTGCAGAAAGATCAGACTTTTTGATCGATTAAGTTTAAAATCTGCTCTCTTTTTCACTGTTCCTCAGAATTCTTTACTTAAAATGTGAAAATTTTTAGGTGACGCCTTCAAATTGGCTAAAAACGATGAGAATCGAACACTGAAGTTCTTGTTTGCATTATTTTAGTTTTTAGATATAGATAGAGATGATCCAACTTTTTTTGCTTTTTTGTTGTTCAACAGGATTCTAAACTTACTTTTTAATTATTTTAGAAGAATTTCAGTTCAGATAAATTAATAATTTTTATGTTTTGTGAGAATTACTGGAAAAGTTTCGTCTTTTATTCTTTAATAACTTTGATTTATTTTAATTTTTATCAGGGTATAATGGCTTGTATTTCATCTAATGTTGGAAGCTACTCACAAATCTCAGCAACAAAAAATTTAGTGAAAAATCACATCAACAATGGGTTTCATTCATCTGTTTCTTTTGTTCATAAGAAATGGAATACCGTATTGCCTTCTCAATTTGGTCAGTACCGTTCATGTTCTCCGCTCGGCTCGATTCCGAGAGATGTGAGAAGTTCTGGTGGGAATTTGGAGAAATTTGCTCTTGCGAGCAGTATCAATGGCAGTGAGAATGTTTCCGGTGAGAAATTATCGCTTTAATATGCAGCTATTTTATGCTACAGATTGCAATTGACCAGTGAATGTGAGCTTTTATGAATTTGGTTAAGCTTTAGGAGTAATTGCAGCTTAGATTTTGACATTTAACTTTAGTCTTTGACATTTAGCTTTAGTCAGCATTTGCTTTGCTTGTGGATTTTTAAGGTTTTTGTTTGACATGATAAATATTTATTATACTTACAGAAACTCAATTGTCCAGCCACCTTGGTTTTGTTTCCCATAGAGCAATTTAAAATTTATCCAGATCAATTTCAGGTCGTATACTTGTAGGTAAAGTGCATGAGTTTGCTAATTCTCTCTGTTTATTTTGTATTAAGGAAGTTTAATGATGGTAGGACTGAGGACACTGTATTGAGAGATGTGCTGATTGATAAATGATATGGCTAGTAAGGATCATGCAAAGGAAGTTTCTCATTTTTTTGTTTTAATGCTAGTAAAATTTCTGATTAAGGGGTACCTGCCATAACTATTAAGAGTTTTCTATTCACTTGGAATGATTCTCCACAGTATACTAGTCGCACATAACATGCCATAAACGAGTCTTCTCGATTCATTATGTTACAGCCGAATGTATTTTTCAGTCCATGTATATTCTTCAATATGCACATATTCATCTCAATATCCATTTTGTGAAGGCTCTTGTGTCGTTTTAATATCTTTTTTATTTCTGAAGGCTTTCTATTTTTTACTTGTACGTATTTCCCCCCATTTCGTAAAGTGATAAACTATAAGGACTGATTGTTGAGGCATGCAGTAGTTGTTAAAACAGAAATATGTACGTTTAGAAGTGTGTTTACATGTGCTTAAAATCTTATTCTTATAAAGGGCATTTTTTAGGTTAACAAAGTGAAGAGCACTGGTTGTGTTTGGTATGAGACACAGAACACAGTTTGTGGCATCATTAATCCTGCTAAAAAACATGACTACATGATGAAATCTTGCTTGTATAAATGTTTATATATATAAGTGGAAAAAAACTTGTTTGGCTTGTTAATCATCTTTTTTTTTTTTGGCTTTAGAAGTTAGTGCCTCACAAGGCCACAATTTTCTCACCATTTGAGCACAATTTAAGGTTCTTGATCAATTAAGTTCAGTTCTTGGTCGTGATCTGAACAGAGTTGGCCCTTGTTAGCAAGCAAATCTAGATTAATGTAAAATAATTTCCTTTAAATTAGTCAAATTAGTAAGTTCAATTTTCTGATGCATTAGTAAGTTCAATTCTCTGATGCAATCTTTCTAAGTTAATTGAATTATGCCTTTCTTTATCTTTCCCTCCACAGAGCAACATCTTTGTCTAATTTCTTTTATTCTAATTGCAGAAGAGAGGGTGGTTGTGTTAGTAATCGGTGGGGGTGGAAGAGAACATGCACTTTGTTACGCATTGCAACGATCTCCATCCTGTGACGCTGTCTTTTGTGCCCCAGGCAATGCCGGGATTACTCATTCTGGGAATGCCACTTGCTTATCAGACCTAAATATTTCTGACAGCTCCGCTGTTATTTCCTTCTGTAAGGAATGGGGAGTTGGGTTGGTAGTAATTGGCCCAGAAGCTCCTCTAGTTGCTGGCCTTGCAAATGATCTTGTTAAAGCTGGGATTCCTGCTTTTGGTCCGTCATCTGAAGCTGCAGCATTGGAGGGGTCGAAGGATTTTATGAAGAAGCTATGTGACAAATATGATATCCCTACAGCCAAGGTAAAAATTTTGGTTTATGTTCATGTAGTGTTTCCTGTGGAAAAATAAAAAATAATATAGGATCATGACAGTTATCATTGCGAGCCAAGACTAGGTTGACATCTGACTTGCAGATTGACATATCAAACTAGTTAAGAAATAGTTACAATTTGCCTTTAGCTTATTTAAGCTTGCGTAAAGTTTATAATTGTGATATATCATACAGCATAAGAAAATGTCAGTGGTCTATGTAGTTTGCCTGTATCCTGTTTACATTAGTTTATGTGCAAGGCTTTGGCTAATTGCGGATAGACCTCCTACACTATCACCAAATTGAACTTACTACCCCCTCGTTCTATTGTTGCAGATATACACTCTGAGTGAAAAGCTATAGTTGCAGATAGACTTTCTGAAAAAGGTTAAAAAAAAATTCACTTGGGGGTTCTATCTGCAGCAATATAACTACAGGGCTAGTATTCAATTTGGCAACATTACAAGGGGTCTAACTGCAATAACTTTATTTATTTATTTGTCACCTCTAACAAAGAAGTAGTACATTTATCTGTTTCTTCTTATTCTTGTTTTTGTTGGCATCATTCCAAACGTTGCTCCTGAAATATGGGGTCAACATTAAAGAGCATAATACCATATTTCCTCTTTGAGTTAAATGATCTTTAACATTTTTTTTTCATTTTAATGATTGTTTGCGTCGAAAATTGATGTATTCATTGCGGTATTCATTACAACTTCAATCGTTACAATGAAAACAAAAAAAAAGATTGTCTTTTTATAAGACTTTTACACAATGAAAACAAAAGTTTACAACTCTCGTCAAAACAAACGCAGAGATCGTTTATCGGTCTTCTGCTTGCGTGGGATCTTTGCCTATGCCAGGGTTTATCCGTGGACGACCGTCGACTAGATCCAATTGTTGAAAATTCGGCAGAGCTTCGCCTTCGCCGAGGAAGTATTTGATTTGAAGCGCTGAAATCGACCAAGCGAAATCAGGGCTCTTCTCGAGATTAAGACCAAGCCTAATCTCAAGGGACGGACGGGAACGGGCGTCGGATCTCTCGAACTCTCCTTCTAGTGTGAGGTTTGTTCTCCCAAGCAATGTGGGACTAAAACCCACTACAATACACTATTATCAACAAGTAAACTTCAATATAAGCTCTTCTTAATTTCATTTAAATACAAGAATCCACCCACACCCCTCCCTACCTTCTCCATACCCAAACAAAGGCAAAAAATAAAAATAAAAATAAAAAATAAAAATAAAGGACAAAAAATACTGATTAAATAGAGAAATATACAATATATGCCTTCCACTACCTCTAAGTTTATGATTATTAGACCATATCCTCACTTACATAAATTTAGATCATAATATTAAACTTGTTAAATTTTTATTAAGGTTAACATCAGACAAAGAGTGATGGAAAACATTCTACAACGAAGATAGCATGTTCACTATGCAATAAAATAAGCATAAATGTAGGATTTAAAGAATAACTGTAGAACTGCAAAGACATAGCAATGATAAATAAAAGAAGTGAATAAGGGCTTACCAACATCTGAGCGTCAAGGCGTCAACTGCGGCTGCTTAATATATAATCAAAATTGAATTTCTTAGACATAAGGCAAGCAACAACATGCATTTATTTTTATGAGAGAACTATAGACATTATCATAACTCCAATTATTATTCATAGTAAGATAGTTCCACAAATATTCCTAACAAAATCTATGAATATTCATTAAGCTCAGGAGGCATATCATAGTTCCATCATGAGATTGTACCAGTGTTCATATATTAGGTTCACATAGCTAAGACTAAGAGTTAGTGACATGCAAGATGGTCAATATTAATTGATAATATTTAAACTAATAACAACTATAATTAAATACGTGATAAGAAGTGAATACAAAAAATTACAGCAGCTAACACGCCTCCTCTTAAAACAAATCTAAAGCACTTGTTCTTCTGCTATCATGATCGGTTGACACAAATTTAACTGTCTGCCTTAGAAGCAGAAATATTTTAGCACCACAGCTTCTCAAGAAGCAAATACATTTGTTGTTCGTCTTTAATAATAATGTATTTTTGGTAATTGAAGCGTAGAATTTTTCTCCAAATTCACATGATTTGTAAACTATTCTTGCTTTTGCACAACTACAAACTCTTCTGAGATATTTAACTTATGGTTTTATGGGGAGAAAAAAATTAAGGACCACCAATATTACCATTCACAAAAGGCATACAAGTGTTAATTCAAGGCAAATCAACTCATAAATCATTTTCAATCCAGGTGCGGAAACGGACGACAGCCACTAATTACAAATATTGTGGGATTTGAAACTTCTCGATTAGAGCTAAAGGAGTGTCTTAACTCCTAAGCAATCAAATTGCTTTTACTTATAGTAAATTGTTTTATTAGTAAACTTCAATATAAGCTCTTCTTAATTTTATTAATTCTCTTTATTCTTGGATATAATCTGATTTATTACAATTGTTAAAAAAATACATGTTGTCCGATTACTTGGTTGGTACCATCAAACTTATTGTTTGGAAAGAACAGTTGACTAATTAATTCTAAACTCTCTTGATTAATGTCTATTATAATTTTTTGGTATACTTTTGTCCCCTATTGTTGTTGATATAATTTTCATATAGTTTTTTATTGTCTAATACATATTTTTTTACATATAGGATAATACCATCTCAATTTCAATTTTATACTCAAGATTTATTTCATAATTATGAGTATTAGGTCAGTAAAGAATATTAATAAATTTTTTATTTTAATTGTGACAATGATTATAGTTGATCATTTACTATTGAATTTTCATAAAAATTTATGCTAATTTGTCTAACTATCTACATTGCTCATATGTATTCATAAATTAATGGTAATATGACATATGATTTTCCTTTATAGAAATTTATTCTTTGGTTTTTGGATAATATAACTACTATACATATATTTGTGTATGTGTATGTATTTATAAGACTATATGAACATTTTTAAAACAGGAGAGAACACTCTAATTCCCAAAATTTAAAAAACCAAATATTCTTGGTTGAGTGATGAGCAGAAGAAAGATTACATTCAGAGAATTGCGGATAATAAGAGAAAGCGACAAAGTAATGACTTTGCTGGTAATACTATTAATGGCAAACGACAACGTAAAGTTAACCTATTTTGTGGAGCCCTATTACTTTCCTATGAGCATGAAGATATGTGTAGATATACTTTATAGTTTATTAAATAGGCCATATAAATTTAAAATTAGATTATTAAATATTTATATTTTATGCTAGGGCAAATTCTTCATGAATCGGTATGTTCTTTACTATATAAGCTACGCACTCTAAAGTCTTGTGTCTATTGTAGATCGAAAAAGTTTGAACACGAGCCTCCAATATTTTGCTGTCACAACGGTGAAATCCACCTAGCAGATGTGAATATTCTAAATGAATTATATGCCCTTTATATAATGCAATCACCAGAGGCAATTGGGTTTCGAAGCCATACCAGAATGTACAACAGTATTTTTTTTATTCACATCATTTGGGGTCATATTTGATAAAGAGCTCGCATCAAATAGAAAAGGAGTTTTCATATTTAGAGCATAATGCCAAATATATCATAATCTCCCTGGTCTAATTCCAAAGGAAAGTAAGCCTTCATACTTTCAGCTTTACTTCTATGATACAAAGAATGTGTTGCAAAATCAATTGGGAATACTAGACAATGCAAATATAAGTGAAATCACAACTAAGAGCTTGATGGATATATTACAAGGAAACTCATATTCAAAGTTCTTTCGCAAATTGAATGATTATCAATCTTTTGAAGAATTTAAGATACTAATAAATAGTGACATTGCACTAGAAATCAACGTGTTTACAACTCACCAACAGCATATCAGGTGGTTGCAATCTAGGTTGAAGGAAATAATAACAATGCACCATATGAGAGAGTGATAGTTGTCCATGCACACTCAGGAGGAAGACATCAAGTGAAACACTATTTTGGCTGTTATGATCCGTTGCAGTATCCCTTACTCTTTCCAAATGGAGAGGTTGGATGGCATCAAAATATTAAAAGAAGAGATAAAAGGGATATCAGAGTTGACAATCAATAAAGAACTATAATGCTAACTTCAGTAGTTCCACCAACCTTCACATCTGCAGAAGACATATTTAATCGAGAAAGTGAAGGTAAATTTTAATTCACAATTCTTAGTAATATTATTATATATGACCATTGCTTAACGCCCAAATTTACAGGTGTCAAGGCACCAAAACCCAGAAAAGTATCATGCCGAGATTATTATTGTCATAGGCTCCAGATAACAGACCTTTGACAATCTATTTTACTTACATCTGCATGTCGTTTATTCCATCAATATGTTGTTGATATGTACATAAAGCTTGAAACAATAATATTTGATTACTTTAAAAATAAATAATCAGAAATCAGAGCAGAGTTATTCCAAGGTATTGTTGAGAGTATAGTTGCCGGGGAAGTAAATGAATGCCAAGTGGGCAAGAGAATAGTGCTTCCATCATCATTCATAGGTGGTCCTAGAGATATACGTCATAGATACCTTGATGCAATGTCATTAGTACAACAATTTGGAAAGCCAGATCTTTTTATAAAAATGACATGTAATCCAGAATGAGAAGAGATCACTGAGCAACTACATCCAGGTTAGACCCATAATGACAGGCCAGATCTAACCTTAAGGATATTTCGAGCAAAGCTCCAAGACTTGAAATATCAACTATTTAAAAAGGAGATCTTTGGAAAAGTTATTGCACATGTTCACGTGATTGAGTTTCAAAAAAGAGGTCTACCACATGCACATATCTTAATAATTCTTATTGGAGATCACAAGATCACATTATCGAATTAGTATGATAAGTATGTATCTGTCGAAATTCCAGACCCATCCAAACACCCGATCCTCTATGAATTGGTAAAAAACATATGATATACGGACCTTGTGGGGAG